ATGGTTATATTTGATGTTGACACGTGCCCCATAATTCTGCATGTGTCATATATATTGATATATGTGAATTGTTTATGAATCGATATGCTTATGATATGATATGTATGTATTATAATATGTGAATTGTATGATAATACTTACAGTACGATGTGTTCAATGATATGTTTGAGATAGGATACGAGAAGGATGCACTTAACGTAATGTAATGATAGGAGTAAGATATGTAAACATTAAGGTTAGGTTACATATCAAAGTGCTATGGATATGAGAGATTGATAAAAATGATATAGTCATGATCGATTGATAAAAGAATATGGTTAGGTTACGGGCAGAAAGGGATAAGATTATGATAGATTGATAGAAAGCGGGCAGAAAGGGATAAGATTATGATAGATTGATAGAAAGATAGCGTTAGGAAACGTTCCTGTAGCAATATGACTAAGGTACGTTCATGTAACGATATGATTGTGATAGACAAAAGAATGTTAAGGCTATGATAAGTTAGGGAACAATATGACCACGAAGTGTTTAATATGATATGATTATGATACGACATGTAAGTGACGAATATACATACATACATATATATATATATATATATATATATATATATATATATATAAATATAGATATGTTGTGATATGATGAAAATGATATGAAATTTGTTATAATACCAGATATGTGATAAATTGACATGTTTAAGATATGATATATTGTGATTGTTAGGTTATGGAGCATGCGGCTTATTTATAGCTTAGTCAACGATTATACATAGCAAAGTAATATATGGTAAATGACATATAGAGTAAATTTTCATAAATAGTAAATAGCTATGTGTAGTAAAAAGCTACCTCGGTAAATCTATATATGCTAGATAGCTATATATAGTAGATGGTTATATCGAGTAAAACTATATATACTAAACTGAACCATATATATATTCGCATAGCTTTGAAAATGTACTTTTTCTGTATTCTCTCCTATGGTACATACCTTAAATCATCAATATAAAAACCTTTTAGCCAGAGTTCTCTTTCATTTTCTTTGTCCTTTACTTTGTGTTCATCTTGATCGAGTGTGTGCCTTGTTGTGCGGTCTTAACAACTGAATCAGAGCTAGACGAAATTCATCACGATCTATGAAGATGGAAAACTTAAAGATTGGAATTGAGAAGTTCGATGGATCCAATTTTGGTTTATGGAAGATGCAGATGGAAGATTATATGTAACACCCCTAATTTTCTTAACCTAATTTGTGACATCACCCATACATGCATAAGTCATTAAATGGAATTTCATCATAAATAACCTTCGAATACAACACTCTGTCTTTCATGAAGGTTCAAATTCCAACTAAACCTAACTCCAAAACGAAATGTTCAATGAAATAAATGTTTAACATCCTAACTTAAAAATCCAAACAACAACATAATTACTAACTATACTCTCTCCTTAACTTCCATGGTAACCTCAGCTCCACCGTCAGTCGTACATTGGCGCCTTGCCTTTACCTGAAAAATGTAGGTAGCATGTGGCTTGAGTATTTTATGAAATACTCAGTAAGTCACCCCACTGTTGAGGTTAGAATGCAAACACATGCAACATATGAGCGAGACCTAATTTTTTGTAAACTTTACATGTCCTTGGGTGCTTTTCTATTCCAAGTAGGGTTGGATGTGTGATAAAGAGGAAGTATCTCGATGCAAGTGACATACATATATGCATGACGTCTCTTAACTTATATTACATGATATATTACATAACTTACATCACATGTCATATTACATAACTTACATCACATGACATATTACTAGCAGATCAAACATAACTTTTCATAATGTCAACATTCAGCTGTCAACATAATTCATACATCACATAGTCATATCACAAAAAATATGGCATGCAGGGGCCACAGGGCACGCACCATCATACAACACATAATAAGCTAACTCCAATAGTAAAGTCACTTACCTCGATGGTCTTGGCCGAAGTTTCTCACAACAAGCTAATTCCAATTGCACTACGTCCTATAAGAACCACATAATATATTTAAGAACCTTTCCTAACGCATTCTAGCTAAACCTCATGTTAGTGATCAAAGGAAAACCCTAACACAATCTCTTTTGACTATTAAGGACTATACTGACCTTAGAATGCAAAAATAAAGGCATAAACGACTTCAGAAGGGCCAAAAACCTAAGAATCAATATATTATAGAGATATTGAGCCAAGCCACCGAGCCGGCCAACTAAGCCACCAAGTCGAGCTGCAGGAATTGACAGAGCCAAGCTGACGTACACGCTGACCCGAGAGGAGCCGCGGCTGACGCCTGATTTGGTTGGTGCGAGTCCACAGGACACAGACGCCGAAACCAGACCCGATCCAATCCCTCTTCTTCCTTACCCGAAAGACACAAAAACTCTAGACGCGATTTTTCCTTTTCGATTACGACAAGACTTTGACGCTTATGCTTATCCTTGCTGTCGTTTTGTCTGCCACTCCTCATTGTGCAATGCTCACGATGTTACTCTACTTCTACCCAAAAATCCTCACTGAAAAATTGAAGCCTTGCGTACGTCTCACGATTTCCTTCTTCAAAACCCGTATGTTTTCTCTCAAACGCAACAATTTAATTTCGAGGGAAGGGGAACGACTGATTACATATAATAGGGTTTTAAAAGAAGGAAACTTAGAGAAATAGGAATATTTCTATTAGGCAATAAATGTCTCGCCAGAAATCTCGTGATTTTTAGGGAGATTTCGTGTGACCATAAAATTATTTTATTATTTTTTTTTCCAAAAACTCATATCGTTACATTATATGTACCAGAAAATTCTTCACGAACCCCTGTTGGGGGTGAAGCTGGATACCATAACCATGGAGTAGTGGAAGCTCAAGGATCTACAAGTCTTAGGCTTGATCCAGTTAACGTTATCCATAAACATGGCATTCAACATCATCAAGGAGAAGACAACGTCAAATCTGTTTAAGGCGCTGTCGAATATGTATGAAAAATCGTTGACTATGAATAAGGTGTATTTGATGTAGAGATTGTTCAATCCACAGATGTCTGAAGATGAATCTGTTGTTGATCATATAAATGAATTCAGTATAATTGTAAATCAACTAAGTTCGTTGGAAATTAATTTCGAGGATGAAATTAAACCATTGATTTTGATGTCATCTTTACTTGAGTTATGGGATACTGTTGTTGCCGCAATCAACAGTTCTCGAGGATCTAATAAACTAAAGTTTGATTAAATTTTAGATGTAGTAGTACTCTCAGTGTTGACCAACGAGGAATAAGTAAATCAAAGGAACCAAATAAAGGGTGATCACAATCAAAGAACCGAGAAAAATCTCCAAATAGACCAAACGTAATGTGTTGGAATTGTGAAGAAAAAGTTCACTTTCGGACAAATTATACAAGAGCAAAGAGGAAGCAGAATCACAAATCTGGAGATGATGATGATTCTATAAATTCAACAGAAGACATTGGGGATGCTCTAATCCTCATCGTAGGTAGTCTAGAAATTTCGAAAAGGTGTATCTTGCCAACAACAAAGATTTGGAGATTGAAGAAAAAAGGGATGTTTGCATAAAAACTCCGGCAGGAAATCAGTGGACATTAAAAAATGTCAGATATATTCTTAGTCTCAAGAAGAACCTGATCTCTATTGGTTAGTTGGACAACACAGGTTATGTAACAGAGTTTAGGAAGAGTTCGTGAAAGAATGTGAAGGGTGCTATGGTGGTAGCACATGACATAAAATCTGGAACCTTATACACCACTGCAGAGTGTAAGAACATGGTTGTTGTTGCTGAGAGTGCTTCAAATTCAAATCTATGGCACAATAGACTTGGACATATAAGCGTCAAAGGAATGAAGATGTTGGCTGTGAAATTTGTTGATATGGGTCTTTGTGAGAATTGCATTATGAGTAAACAGAAACGAGTTAGCTTCACGAATACTGCTAGAGAATTGAAGAAAGTACGGTTGGAAATGGTCCATACAGACATTTGGGAATCATCTCCAGTTCCATCACTTGGTGGATTAAAGATCTACGTCACCCTCATCAATGATTTTAGCAGGAATGTGTGAATTTATTTCCTAAAACACAAGTCAGATGTGTTTGTCACCTTCAAGAGGTGGAAATCTGAAATTGAATATTTGACCGGCTTGAAGACCAAATGCCTGAGGTCTAACAATGGAGAGGAGTACAACAAGTCAGAATTGAAAGCATTTTGTGTAGATGAGGGAATTAGATTAACAATGACAATTCTCGATAAAGCAAGACAAAATGATGCTGCTAAAAGAATGAACAGAACATTGAATGAGCGAGCAAAGAATATGAGGATTTATTATTGATTGCCAAAGACATTCTAGGCCGATGCTGTAAATATAGTAGACCAAGGGTACTAATGACCCTCTTTGATCAAATGGTCTACTATATTTACACCATAGTTAGAATGACTCAGTCAGGAACAAATAATTCATAATATTCTTCTTATAAACAAATAATTCTCAACAGAGTCAGAATGACTCAGTTCCACATAAGCTAATTAAGAGGAATATTATGAGTTTATAAGTAAGGAACACTATTTCCATGGGTACAAGCATTTTGGAGAAACTAAGTTAAGATAAATACACAAGTATGATACTAGAGATATAGAACGAATCTCCACAACACAATAGTATGATATTGTTCAGATTTACTTTTAGTTTTCCTACAATGTCTCGTACCAATAAAAATAGTTTCGCTTACTTATATCCCAAAAATCTTCTTCTAGCTCATTTTTCAAATATACAACATAACCGGTAGAAACAAAATATTAATACACTTCTAGACATTTTTTCCACCTAACCTAGCAATTAAATTTGGACAATAATTATGAAATTATTGTCTAGTAGCCTCTTTAGTCTTAAGCTTCCAACTTTGGAACACTTAATTCATTTCCACAATTACCCCTACAAAGTAGTATAAATTCCAACTTCTCCCACACCCAAACATCACACCATCTCCAACAAAGCAACAATTTTTCATTCCAAAGCTCTCAAAGCCATGGCGGAAGAAAAGCAAGGCCATCATCACCACCACCTTCACCTTCACCACCACAAAGAAGGAGAAGAGTACTCCGGTGGCGACGTTGACTACGAGAAAGAAAAGAAGCACCACAAGCACCTTGAACACCTCGGCGAGCTTGGTGTCGCTGCTGCTGGTGCCTATGCTCTGGTACTTAATCGAATCCTCTTCTTGTTTGCTCCTCTAAATTCCTAATCAAATAAAAGTACAATTAACCTATGTTGTTCTCGTTGTTGCAGCATGAGAAGCACGAGGCGAAGAAAGACAGTGAGCATAGCCACGGGCACAAGATCAAGGAGGAAGTTGCCGCGGCGGTGGCTGTCGGAGCAGGTGGGTTTGTGCTCCACGAGCATCACGAGAAGAAGGAAGCAAAGAGAGAAGAGAAAGAGGCTCATCATGGCAAGGACCATCACCACCATCTTTTTTGAAACTTTGGCATGAATCTGTGGGGAGTTGTTTGTGTGTGTGTGTGTGTTTTAGCTTTGTTTGTGATGTTTGGGTTTGAAGAGCTGAATATGGTAAGTTGTTTGTAAAATAAATTGGAGATGCTTTATTACGTAATAAAAGATTACACACACATATATATATATATATGAAGAGATATATATGTATATATATTGATACATACATATATGTATATATACACAATACATATATGTGTATCACATACATATACATATATATTTTAATTTTGAATCTCGTCACAAATCGTGAGACATATATATATATATATACACACACATATAAATATATTTTTGAATTTTGAATCTCGTCAGAAATCGCGAGATTTCCGACCAGCGGCCGATTTGTGGGGGAGAAACTACCCTCTCATATAAAAAACCTTACTATTTCCTCCTCTCAAACCATCCAAGTATTTAAACAGTGGGTAAAGAAGTTTGCATGGTCGTCAAAAGAACAAATCTACGAAGTCCACTGGTTGAGTTTCGGGCTGGATCCTGTTTGGGTGTGTTAAGGATATTTAGTAATAAATTATAGTTTACCATATATATTATATTTGATATTTTATTATAAGGCAAATATTAGATATTTGCCTAGGTATCTTTCCATTTATTGTTATTTCCATTTATTACTATTTCCATATCTTTGTAATTTATTTGATTATAAATAAGATAACTTTCACATCATTTAGGTGTGGTGGATTAATCAAACATTCAGGGTGACCCATAAATCAATTGAAATTCGGTGATGCCCCAGAAATCCATTTGTGTGCGTAGCAAAAGGACAACCCATGACCCAAGACACATTACCCCGTTTGGCCCACTTACTGATGCGACCTGAAACCCACGTACTAACCCAGAGACTCACGCGTGCTAGTCCAAATTCGCTAGCTACATTCAGCGGGTCATACTATGTTATTTAAAAATGATAAGTGTAGTCACGTATGTGTGTGATTGCATTACCTGACCCTAACCGTGGAGTTAATTATTGAGTATTTTCTAAAATACTAAAGTTAAAATGTCATTGCATGGAGGTAAAGGTAAAATGTCATTGCATGGATAATGATGATGCTGGAATTGTCATAAAAGCTAAACTAGGGTAATAGTATGCATTGGTTTTCCCTAATAGTCTATAAGTTGGTGAGGGTTTTCATTTTCGTGAGTGAACTTACATTAATATTTCATTATTGTTAAGGATATTTAGTAATAAATTATAGTTTATCATATACATTATATTTGATATTTTATTATAAGGCAAATATCTAATATTTGCCTTATTATCATAGGTATCTTTCCATTTATTGTTATTTCCATTTATTACTATTTTCATATCCTTGTAATTCATTTGATTATAAATAAGATAACTTTCACACCATTTAGGTGTGGTGGATTAATCAAACATTCACATGGTATCAGAGCCCTTTCGGTTTAACAACCCTGATCCTTTCTTTTCAATGGCTTTTGAATCCTCTAATCTTCTTCTCCACCACCCCTGCTGGTTTTGACGCCGCAGGGGCAGTCTTCATGGCTGCCGTAGTCGGAGCCGATTGATTACTCTTCGGCTCCACCCTATTGACCTCCAAATCACCTTTCGTCATACTCTGTACATATAACCTCACCTTTTCCAACCAAATCGATTTTCCCCTTGGCCAATATAGTCTCTCTCATTTTCTTCCCAATCAACCTTCATCCTTCACATAAACCTTAACCTAAACCTATCAACCTTTTGCAGAGATTTACCTTCGGAATCTGGGTGCCGCACTGGCCTATTCGCCAACCAAGTTGCCGCCGCCCTTCCTGCCAAAATTGGCTTCTTCGCCCGATGAGGCGACTCTTCCGACTGCTCTTCTCGCCAAAATTGGCTCCTTCGCTCAATGTGGCGACTCTTCCGGCTTCAACATTGTCTTTGTCCCTTGCTCTAGGTTTCCCCTTCTACTTCTTGGGGTTAGAAATATTCTCACTAGAGCCAAGGCAGCATCGTCGCTAAGCGACAATCCCTCTTCATGGGTTAAACATATTCTCGCTGAAGCCAAGGCAGCATCGCCGCTGAGCGGCAATCCCTCTGCAAATTTTTGATGGTCAAGAACCGGGTTGTTAGCATCTTCATGAAAAGTGTTTCTCAACCTCTTTGAATTTTTCAGATTCAAGCTTCACGTTCGTTTAAATCCGACGCTTAGCTTGCGGTGGGGTGTTAAGGATATTTAGTAATAAATTATAGTTTACCATATACATTATATTTGATATTTTATTATAAGGCAAATATCTAATATTTGCCTTATTATCATAGGTATCTTTCCATTTATTGTTATTTCCATTTATTACTATTTTCATATCCTTGTAATTCATTTGATTATAAATAAGATAACTTTCACACCATTTAGGTGTGGTGGATTAATCAAACATTCACAATTATCCTTCTTATTTCAAATTAAACTTATAAGTCCACGATTTCATTGGAAAACGAAATTGACTATTTAGAAAAAAAATTCGGAGTCTCTAAAGAATAAAATTTGAAATAAATAAACTTCATGAACAATTACGAAATGAATTCTATGTAACCTCTCAAACCAAGCAATGGGGCAACCTCCTCGTCATGCTTCTAGTACGCTGTTATCTTTAGTTGAATCGAACAAGAAAATCATTTATCTCTATACAAATAGTAGTAAACAACCTACTTCAATCCAAAGTCACGGTTAGGTAGTCAGTACTTAGTCAATTCCTAAAAAAAACTTAAACCAGACTTTCTAAAATAACTTAGCTTACGATGAGAGAAAAGAAAAACATATTAATGTTCAAACTAAGTTAAATCAAACTGAACTAATTTAATTGAATTGGACTAAACGGTTGAACCTCCGAACTTAAAACTGAAGCATACTGGAGCTATCAAGACCAACTATTTATAGAAAACTCATTGTGTATATTCGTAATAATAAAGACGAGTGAGTAGCGTTGAAGATGAAAATTTTAATGCCAAGCAAGATTTTGTAAAGCTCCAAGGAAGTTGGAAAGAAAATGTGAAGAAAGGTTAACAAAAATGTAAGTTTCTTCATTTTTATGAAACTTCTTGTATTTTATTGAATTATAGAGAATGTATCTCAATGGCCCAAGACGGATAGAATGACCAAAATAAGGTAACTAATTAAAAAGAAAAAAAAAACTAAAAAATTAAATAATTGGAAAATGACACTCAATAAATCTTACATTTGGTAAGATGTAAATGTTCAAGATGTCTGATTTCGAGACATGGCCTATGAATCCCTCCCACCTAAACATTCAATGATAGAATTCGATAGCCGAAAACCTAAAAATTAAATAATTGCGAAACAACTCTAGAGGAAATCTTAGATTTTGTAAGATCAAACGGTTTAATAGTGGAATTTGATAGTTGAACGAGGTAAGAGACTAAACAGAGTAAAAAGTTTCAAGAACTCTCCTCCAAATTTAAGTCATATCTAGGCTTTCAAAGTAGGTGGATGGTTGGGCTATAAAAAGAAATTAATGGCTTTTAATTGGTAACACGGTACCAAAAACATGAGTCTAGTGTCACCCAAATTCGAAGTTATAAGTCATTCATTTTTGGGTTTCAAGCAAGCTAAACTTCATCATTTGAGTTCAAACCACTTCTTACACCATCTTATCAAGATTACTCATAAGTTTCCTTTAGAATTTGAGGGCTAAAAATGACTGAACGTCTTTCCCAATTCAAGCTTTGGAGGCCACTTTTGAGTAAGAGAAGCTAGCTCAATTGAGACTCCCAAAAAAATTCGTCCAACAAGATCCATATCATTCAATTTCTCAGAGTCCATGAGTAAAGTTGTAGAAGACCACGAAAATGTTTGAGCTCTGGATAAGAAGAATTTGGAGAAAGACATTTATGGGTAAGTTTTTTTAACAAATTAGGAAAATTCAAAAGGAGTTGAGAGCTAAGGTGGTCTAGAACGATGCTTAAATCCTATTTTTTTAACTTCTTGTTTAAAGAGAAAACCTTTTCCCAAAGGAGTTGAGAGCTAAGGTGGTCTAAGGAGTAATTCTACCCGAAGGTTGACCGAAAATCTATAGACTTCGACCCTTAAATTGGAGAACCACACATAAATTCATTACTTGAGGCCTATTCCATTAGGTTAAGGGCAAGGAAAGAAGGGGTTTTTTTACTGAAGGGATCGAGGGCTAATAAACTCGAGAAATGCCTCAACAAATAGAGGAAATACATGGTAACGCTCTAGCGAAGAAGATGACTTCCAACGTGTTTTCTCTAGTGTATAACTTCGTCTACCGTGCACAAGAGTCCACGAAACAAGTCTATAGTCCTTTCTTGAAACACCTTCTATAAGTTTGTAGAAGGAATGAAGGCGAAATAACTATTATACGAGGATGTGGAAGGCAATTTACAGGTGTAGGAATCCACGGTTTCAGCATCTTCCCTTAAATTCTGAGGTTGAAGATGATGGCGTGGCCAACTCAATTGAACCTATAACGACCCTAAATTTTCTACTTAACCTAAGGCCGTCAATGTACATATATCATAGACATTTAATGCGGAATAATGCTTTATTTAATGCTTTGGAATAAACTAATACATATTGAAATAAAACTAAAAACAATACACAATGAAATGACTTATAGTAACCTATATTAAACTAAATGGAAATGCAATTTAACCTATACTAACCTTTAGTCTACTAAAATTAAAAT